TTGAGTTTAGATATCTAAATATTATGTTTCAAAGGGTATTATTATATAATTTACATATATTTTAATAAGTAGGCATATGCATCGTGTTAGGTCAAGGCTTGGAGAGGTTTGGGGGTTTATAATTGGTGGGTATTTAAATATCTGTAACCTAACATTGACATCTAGATTAATAATTAATCAATCAATGTCTTTATTTATTTATTTATTTTTTTCCTTATTCCGTTTTTTTTCTAGTGGCTTGTTTGGGTGTGCTTGTTACAAATTATGAAAGCAACAAAACAAAAACAGGTCAATTAAGGTTTCTCTCTGCCCTCTACTCATAAACGTGTCTCGAAAAGTTATATACATACATACATTTATATATATATATGTATATGTATGTATAAATTGAAAGTTTGGGAATTTAAGGATTTAATAGAAGAAATTGAAAGTTTGAGAAGTTAGGAACTTAATTGAAAATTTTAGAAGTTTGGGAAGTTAAGAACTTAATTGAAGAAATTGAAAGTTTTAAAAGTTAGGGACTTAATTAAAAGAATTGGAAGTTAAAGAGTTAGTTGAAAAAATATATATAAGTATTTTCAATACTTATAACTATATATAAAGTATAAGTATATTTCAGTGCTTGACAAACACACACACACACACACATACATACATATATATATATATATATATATTGCTTAGAGTGTCGTTACCAATCAAAGCATATCACATTTGCTCAAATAATTTCTACTTATTAATTCATGTGTACCAAAAACGAAGAGAATGTTGATGATAGTTTGAAAGTACTAATTATTCAAAATTGAGAAAGATGAAAAGTAAAACCCAATTTTTAGGGTAAGTCTATTTTTAAGTTTTTTTTGCAAGAAAAATTTTTTTGAAATATTTTATAATATTTGGATAAATTTTTAAAAAGTACTTTAAAAAAAAACAGGTTTGTGATTATTTTTAAAACTAGTATAGAGTATTTTATGAAAAGATGACTATTAAAAAAATTATTCAAACACACCCTTAGTCTAAGTAGTTATGTACATAAGATGTGGGAATCATCAGAATAGTATACTTTTTTTAATCTTATACCTTCTTCTTCCATAATTTTATTTTAATATCATTCCATTCATTCTATGTACTTCGAACTTAATAATAAGTGAGAAGTATATTTAATTATTTTATTAATATTTTGATTAAAAATCCTAATAGAAAGTAGAAAGTAAAATTTGATAGAAGTTTAAGTATTAAATTATAATATTTTTTAAGTTAAGGACTTAACTATAAATTAAAATAATACTTATGTTTTAAGGGATTTATTTAGATAGTCAATGAAATTTTCGGTTTTGTCACTTAGTGGGTGGGTGGTGGGCCTGAATTCAGACGGCATCAGTGAAAGCAAGGTTGAGAGCCACAGAGTCCAAGTCAACCACTACTAAATTGGCCATACCCTTCAATTCCCCTTTTCACTTTCTCCAGCTTTTCTTCTTTTTTGTTCTTCCTTCCCTAATTTGTTACCCCTTTCACTAATTTAGATTTATTTTTGAAGTAATTTGTAAAATACACTCTAAAATTATCATTTTTTATATTTTACACCCTAATAAGGCAAAGAGTTAAAAGGGTGCTAAAGTACAAAGTACAAAAAATGATAATTATGAGGTGCATTTATAAATCAGTCTTTATTTTTGTAATTTTTTTATTCATAAAAATGGAAATAAAAATTCTCAATTAAGTTTTTAACTTGAATCAAAAAAATTAGGAATGGCAATTTTATACATATTCCACAATTACTTATAAATTTTACCTAATCAAACCCAAGTATAAATATTGTGAAATGGAAATAAGGATAATTTTGGAGATTTTTACGAGAATTTATATGAGGACAATAATGGAGATTGTAGTATCCATTGTGTCTCATATCAAGTATACTACATCATGTGTTTATATATATATATATATATATATATATGTTCTAAAAACTATATTTAAGTGATTTATTATTAATTTAGTTGTTAGATAATAAAATTTAGTTCATTATTTTATTTGGTTTAAAAAAATAAAATGATATAATTTAAATATTTTATTATTTTATAAATTATGAACAATTCTATCTCTTCAAATTCGGGAAAAAAACAAAAAGGGATTCCGTTTAGACAGGTATATGGGGTATGAGCAATGTTTCAAAAATAGGATTAAATCAGCTAGTTAAATCAAGAATCGGTAGGCTCTGCAGATTGATTGACTAAAAAAAAAAATACTTAAACTTTGAGTCCTTGCATATGGGGTATGAGCAATGTTTTAAAAATGGGACTAAATCAGCTAGTTGAATCAAGAACCGGTAGGCTCTGCAGATTGATTGAATGAAAAAAAAAAAAAAAAAAAAAAAATCCTTAAACTTTGAGTCCTTGCGTATTTCTAAAAAAATATATAAATTAAGGTTGTATTTCTTAACTTTTGAATGTAAAATTGATAAGTAACTATAATAGAATAAATTGTTAATTTTTTTATTTTTTATCCTTAATATTTGTATTTTATATATTTTTTATAATAATATATAAATATATATTATATTAAATATGTTTGTAACGTTACACTAGTTAAATTAGTAATTCAACTTGTTCAACTACTCAAACTTACAACCAGTAAGACTAATAATTAATTCATCAGTCAAGTTTTTTAAAACATTAGATAGAAAAATGAGTATAATATTATTCAAGAGTGGCTGGATAGATATTAAAATCAATTCTCTATACAAATAAAAATGAACAAGAAAATAAAGTTTTTTTTAAATAGAGATAAAAATAAATATATTAGGACCACCTCCCTGTCCGCCCGTTGCGGTTGCTAATAGAAACTGTGAGAACTCTTGATATCATCCACAAACTTATGCGTGCCTAAATAGTGTTTGTTAATTAATTGGGTTGGTGAAAATTTGAGGTTTCAGACTCCGGGGGAAGTGATAGGAATGGTACGTTAGCCATAACCAATTGAATGAACAAATTCGCACATCGGTCATCCTACCTCATTATTACTTAAAATACTTTCCACAAATGTTTAAAAGAGCATCACATGTTTGAGTCCTTGCGTGGACGCCACTACCCTTGGGATTGGCCTTGTCATATGAACTCACTTCGTGGAAATAGTCAAAATTTTTAATAACATTTTTAAAATTTTTTATTTTTAAACATTGAATTATATTTGTTATTTCTAAATAAATTTATAAATTATTATTATTTTTTAAAAAATTTACGCATGCTTAAAAGAGCTCCAAAATCCAAACTCTTTTGAAAATCAGTAATTTCTTTAAAATCTTTAAAGTTATTCTAATTCGTTTTATGCTACAACACTATTTTTATAAATGATATTATGACTATTTCTTTTTAAATGTACTCTTTTATATATTTGAATTTAATTTTTTTACAGGAATATAAGAATATTTTACTATTTATATTACACTCGTTGAATTTTTTAAAATCAATATTTGAGAACTCCATTCAATTCCAAAAGAATTTTTTCATTTTTTATTTGTAGTTATTTATAAATATAATCCTTTGTGGCTTATGTATTATATTTTCTAATGTGACTCACATATCGATTGAGTAAGGAAATCTTGGGTGTTATATATGCAAGTTGGCAACCCTCTACTTACAAGCTAGCTTTTGAGGTAGAATTAGGCAGGTTTGCATCATGTGGTATTAGAGCCTCTCTTGCTAAGTTAATAGGTCACATGGATCTCGGTTCTCTGCACGAGAATGTGGAGTTTAAAGGAGTAATGTGATGCAAACTTGCTTAACTCTACCTCAAAAACTAGCTTGTAAGGAGAGGGTTATCAACTTATATATATAACACTCAAGACCTCTTTACTCAATCGTTATGTGACTCGTATCATTTTCTTACCATAATACATATATAATAAAATCAAAAATTAAACTAATTAAGTTAAATCAAGTTTATTTAAATGAATTAAATATGTAAAAAATTAAAATTTTATTTTATAATAAAATAATCAATTTTTAAAAGAATTAATAAAAACCAAAATAAGGGCCGGATTCAGTTTTCCCTGAGCTTCCAATTTGCGTGGTTCGTGCTCTCCTCTCTATTTTATGCTATAGTTTGCTTTCATCATCCCACGTCAGCATGATATCATGCTTGCGAGATATTGATGTTGACTTCATCGTCCTCTATAACAAAAATTGTCATAGGGCCAGCAGATAATCCCCTAATTATTCATTTTTTATTTTTTATTTTTTAAAAAAATTCAAAATAAGCGAAAAAAGAAGTCCTCTAAACCAATATTTTTACATGGATGAATGCTAAAAAAATTTTAATTAAAAATAAAATTATAATAAATATTTCAAATATTATTCATTACACTTAAAATTAGGGTAATTATAAATAAAGATAATAATTTATATCTTTAATTAAATTGCATATAAAAAAAACCCAAAACTCCAAAACAACCTTTGAACAAACATAACCCGTTTCCAACGTTAAATCATGGGAGTCAAAGAGTTATAAGTAAGCGTTTAGTTAATGACTTGCAAACAACAAAGGGAACTTATTAATGAATTTTGAAAATGTGAAAATAGATATTGTAATTTGGTTTTAGTGCAATTAGGAGAAGGGAGAAAAAAATGGAAAAGAAAAGAAGCGGGGCAAAATTCTAAATTATTTTATAATAAAAGGTGCAACTGTGCAAAATGGAAAATATATACGAAGACGTTGGTTCTTCTGCGGGAGAGATTACGTTGCCGGCCGCCTGGCTCTTCCTCTCTCCGAATTGCAATTGCTTTAGATTATTGTGTAATCTGTCTTGTAGTTTGCATTTGTATATTCTACGACTACAGTGCAAAGTGAGAACAAACAACGGGATATTCCATCTTATAAATATAAACTTCAACAATCCCTTGTCAGTTCAATCTCCTCCAATCCCAGAGTCAATTTCATTCCATCAACTACTTCAGTTCTCCTTTCACTGAATATATAATAATTGATCCTTTGTTTTCACTTCAATGGTGGTGAAGATGATGAAGTGGCGGCCATGGTCGCCGCTGACAACGAAGAAGTTTGAAGTAAAAATTACAGTTGATCGCCTCCGAGGCCTGGACAAATTTTCTGAAAAGGGTTTTGATTCTGAGCGATTTGTTGTTGAAATTAGATGGGAAGGTTCGAAATCGAAGGGCATTGGTCTGACTTATCTGAGGCCAGGCGTGAGGCGAAACTTCACAAGAGAAGGGACTTTGAGAGACGATTGGGTTGTGGAATGGAACGAAGAGTTCCAGAGCTTCTGTAGCTTTTCAGCTAATAAGCAGGGCATTTTTCTTCCCTGGGAAGTAACCTTTACAGTCTACAATGTGAGTTTTCAATTGGGTTTACGATTTTTGGATTAGTTTAATTAGATCATATTGATAATCTTGATAATCTTGATAGTTTCTCTGATTTAATTTAATAGCCTTGGTAAACCTGACTATTACTCATTTAATCCGGTTAATGGACTGAGTTTTTATTTGTTTCTTTTACCAAGAGGAGCATAATATTATCCAGAAACATGTATCTAAAAATTTGTTGAAATTTTCCTTGGTTTTCCAGGGAAGCAAACAGAGGGTTAGTTGTTGAATAAAAGAATACAAGGTTTCCATTTTTTGTATTCAATTTGTTGGTATTTTCTCTCGTGGATTGAATATATCCTGAAATTTTGGTGTAATTATATTTGAATTCTTATGATTATGTTGCGCGGAGTTGGTTTTGGGGGTTGATTGTGATTGATTATCTGACTTGTTGCTGTAACCTTGTTAAATTCTCGCTTTGAATGCTTCAGTTTTGTACCTCATAAAGAGCTTTGGAAAATTCAGCACTTTATTTTTCCTAGAAAAATTTCTGGTTTATCCAAGGGATCTAGCAGAAATTATCTCTGGGAAGACTCCGATTAGTCTTTATGCTCAAGTTTTTTTTCAAAATTTCTTCTATTTGTTTTTTTCATTTTATAATTGTTGACAGAAATTTTCTCAAATTACAATTTTGCAACCTTCTTTATTTACAATTTTATTTTGAGTTTGATGGAGAGAGAAATTTCTGTTTTTAATAGTAGAGAGTGCAGATCCACATGGGGAAAAAAATTGTGTTCGCTTTTTTGTGGTCATGTGAGATGCTGACTTCTGTCGTGAATCTCCGGATGAACTAACTCTAATGATGTCTAACAATTTCATTATTTTTTTATAGGATATATGTTTTTGGCTGACCCATTGATGCCTGCACTACTAAAGGGTGGCAATCTGAGTCATGATCTATTAAGACGACATGCACACAACCTCAATTTAATGAGAGACACAATTACAACACAACAAAACACAACACAACACAATACAACACTAAAAGATCTGTTTCGCACGAATAAAAAAGATTAATTAGTATTAATCTTGGGGCAATTCTGGGGTATTCTAATACTGAGATTTGTGTTCTTACCAGTTGTAAACATGTAACAGATTTATATTTTTCTTCTCAAGTTGAACCGTTTGACTCTGTCTAATTGTTTGGAGCCTGTTTTGAATTAATTTTTGATAAGATCCTTTTCAAGCAAGATCCCTTCACGAATTTGTTTGACAGTTTTGTGACCATTGTATCCTTTGTTACTATCAACTTGATTGGTTAAATTTTCTGGTATTCAACTGACTCTCTTTTCATTATGCAGGGATTGAAGCAAGGACCAAAAACCATGCTTCTCTCATTGCGACTTCTTCTCTGAACCTTTCAGAATTTGCCTTGGCAGATCAAGGAAAACAGCTTGAAATCAGTACTCCTCTTACCGTTCCTGGCGGAAGCATTGAATGCAATCTATCACTATGTGTAAGTGGGCGAGCACCTTTTCAACCAGTTTGTGTTTTCTCATCTTCATTTTGTGTGTGTGTGTGTATTTGTGTGAGTTACTTCAATTTCTCGGTATCTTTTCCCTTGTTTATTAGCATGTTTAATAAAGACCAAGTTCTTCAATAATGCAGTTATCTCTCAGCTTTCTGGAAGTGAGGTCTTCCCCTGAATCTTCAGAGAAAGTACTGGGACAATTAGCATCATTTCCGCAATCAACCCTTTCTGCAGATGCTTTATTAACAGAGAAAGGTGATACTTCTATTAAAACAAGTCTAAGAAAAGTAAAAACTTCTACAAGGTTTGCTTCAGCACGAAAAGCAAAGAAGGCCTGTCATGAAGAAGAGAACAGCGATGGGAAGAGTTCTACCAGAAGCGAGGATGGTGCATATGCTTACCCATTTGACACTGACTCAATTGACCATCTAGATTCCGAAGACTTGGAGGAAGTAAAGGAGGAAGATTTTGGTTTTCGAAAGTCATTCAGTTATGGACCACTAACATCCTATGCAAATTTTATAAGGGCCTCAACTGCAAGCAATAGTGTGGATGAGGACTTGGTCTACTATAGCAATAGCAGATCAGACATGAGGCACTTTCATGTTGAGGAGTCAACCTTGCTGCAGAGTTCAAAGCGCAGCATTCTTCCCTGGAAAAAGAGGAGGTTGAGCTTCAAATCTCCTAAAGCAAAAGGGAGCCACTGCTGAAAAAGAATTATGGGGAAGAAGGGGGAGATGACATTGATTTTGATCGCCGACAGCTTAGTTCATCTGATGAATCCACCTTTGTGGTATACATCTAGATTTCTTTCTCATTTTCTGTTGTCTATCTCTGCTACTGTTTGTGTGTCGAGGGCTATTATGAAAATATATGCATTTTAAGGGAATCCACTTTTTTTGGTATGTCTAATTCATGTCTGCTTTTCTGCTTGATGATTGGTCTGCCTTAATGAGCATGGAAAATTCTCAGTTTTTGGTATTGGATCTCTTTTATTTGAGGGATAATGTTAGTTTGTCTCTTACTGGTAGGGGTGGGAGAAAAAGAGAAACCGTTGTTTAAATAATCAGCATAGTGTTTGTTGCATGTTAATCGTATTGTGCCTATTTCTTTTTTTTTTTTTTTTTTGGCTGCTAGCAACAATTTCATCTTGCATTCTGAAATTATCTTTAATTTCATTCTGGCAGTGGCATAAAGAGGAGCAAGGCTTGACTACAAACCGATCATCTGTTTCTGAATTTGGGGATGACAATTTTTCTGTTGGAAGCTGGGAGAAGAAGGAAGTAATAAGCCGTGATGGAGACGTAAAGCTCCAAACTCAAATCTTCTACGCATCAATTGATCAAAGGAGTGAACAGGCTGCAGGTGAGAGTGCATGTACGGCCCTAGTTGCTGTCATAGCAGATTGGTTCCACTGCAATTCTGATCAAATGCCTATCAAGTCCCAACTTGACAGCCTCATACAAGAAGGCTCCCTAGAATGGAGGAATCTCTGTGAAGATGTGGCCTACACGATGCGTTTCCTGACAAGCACTTTGACCTTGAGACTGTTCTCCAGGCTGAAGTTCGCCCTCTTTCTGTGGTTCCTGAAAAGTCATTCGTCGGTTTTTTCTATCCAGAATGGTTGAACAATCAGGAAGGTTCGACTTGCTTCATGGTGCCATGTCCTTTGATAGCATCTGGGATGAGATAAGTAAGAACAATGAAACTACGCTGTATATTGTGAGCTGGAACGACCATTTTTTCATATTGAAGGTTGAAATGGATGCATATTACATAGTTGACACCCTAGGCGAGAGGCTTTATGAGGGATGCAATCAAGCCTATATACTCAAATTTGATGAAGAAACAACAATGTCACATGTGTGCAAAGAGGCTCAATCATCAGAGAAAAAACCAGCAAGTGAAGAGACAAAGATGGTAGCCTTGAATGAATCTCAGGACAGTGAAGAAGAAGAAGAAGAATCAGTTCTGTGCAGAGGCAAAGAATGTTGCAAGGAGTATATTAAGAAGTTTTTGGCTGCAATTCCTACAAGGGAACTGCAAGTTGATCTCAAGAAGGGCTTAATGGCTTCCATACCTCTTCATCATCGTCTACAAATTGAGTTCCATTACACCAGAGGATGCAAGCATGAGTTAATTAGCAGCCCTTATAAATGCAGACAGTTGCTTAGGGTTTAGTCCCATTGCAGCTGCATTATATGTCAGATGTTCATAGTCTAACCCTTTTTTCCTGTATTTTCAGATGAGTCCAAACTCCACATTCAAAAGATCTTTTGATCTTCTTTGTGATTTTTTGGCCTAATTTTCTTCCATCTTTCACTAGTTTGAAACTTCTCTCCCCAATTTTTCTTTTTCAATCACCATAGTTCTAATTCTTGCTCGTGTTGCAGGGGGCAAGTTGGCTAGTGATACCATCAGATAGATCATAGATATAATTTCTTACTGACTCTTGTTATCTGTTCTATATACATCCGATCCAAGTTCTCTTCATCTTTACATGGCGAAATATGTTGTTGCAGCCAATTTATTAGTCCATCAGAGAGAGTTGCGTGTCACGATTCAATTTCTTAGTTGCAGATGTCTTCTTATCTCATTCAATTTCTTAGATGCAGATGTCTTCTTATCTCATTAAAACCGTTGGTAATCTCTTTTGCAAAAGATATTCTGAGCTTCTGCCCTGTGTAGATTAGACAGCAATTCATGACTAGATGACTTTAAGTTTTGCCATTTTGTCTCCAGAAAGCCATGGGTTTGTCTTTAAAGAGGCAGAGATGTGGGCCTGTGACATTTGGTAAAGAGGAAGTACTATCATGATCAAGAAAGAAGAAGAAGCTACGTGCATAAAGTAAAAAGGCAAATATGACTGTATATCCTTCTAATGATTCCCTCGGCAGCAGAATCTGCATAGAGGATGTGAAAAAAAAAGGATGAACTGGACCAATTGGCCAAATGTCGATTCCCAAAATCGCTTAAGCAACTTGTTTTTGTGGGAAAAAGGAAGAGTGACGAAAAGAAAGAAAGGAGGAAACAAGATATGAAAATACTCACTTTTGGTGCAGTTGCAGAGAGGATCATCCTCTGAATCAAGTTGGAACCTTGCCTGAAAACACCTAATATTAAATAGAGAATAACTTGATCCATCTAATCCGAAAGTTTGAACGGTTGTGGGCTTTGTGGTAAATACAACATTTCAGCTTCAGCAACATAAAGGAAGAAAGCAATTCTATTCACATCCAAACTTGTTGCTGCAAAATGTTTTGTGTTTATGCAGTCAAACAGAAACCCAGATAGCCCCCGCAAAGACAAGAAATTAAATCCCTCTTTATTCTTTATAGGTTTACAGCACCCAAAAACACGGTGAACATGGGAACAATGGCCGTTCAATTCCCATCCACCCAATAACAAAAATTACATAAAATCCACAGAAACTTCAATTTCCATCCCAAACACCCCCAATAATTCAAAGAATTAATCCCACTTTTAAATTGAACAATCAGAAACAAACAATTATTAACTCATAGTTCAGCAACAGATGGGGCAGATAATCAACCCGTTCTCATTGCACTCTGGGCACTTCTCCAACGACTCTCCATCGTCAGACAACAACTTTTGACTTCCATTGCACTTAAAACACATGATAAATCTGATTCCGCTGCACCCATCACACCGGCCTCAAGCCGGTTAATCGGGATTCCGGAGAAGAGCCGCCGGAGCTTCCCCTGCTCGTGCAGAGCAAGCACTACTTCGGCTCCCCCTATATACCTTCCTTGATGAAAAGCCTTGGCGGCACTATTTTTCCACCCAGAGTCCTCCATAGCTCTTCCCTGAACTCGGAATGCATCGAAATGTCTCTTTCGTAGAACACCACTTTAAAACTTTCCAGCAAAAATCTAATGCTGTTGCAATCCTCGAATGTTTTTCGGATCCCTCTCAGCCGGTGGTGTAGAGAATTACTGAATCGGAGCCACCGGGAGGACATTTTTCTTCGAAATCGAACAGTGGATCTCTATTTTCTTCTTCGATTTTCCGAGATTTCAGTGGCGGCTCTTCTTCTTCTTCGCTTTTTGCGAGATTGAGTTGCTCAATTCTGGATCTTCTCTCTGCTTCGTGGGCCTTCACTTCCATGATTGCGTGCTCAAAAGCTTCGAGAAGGTTGGGGTCGAAGAGCTGCTGGAGTTCCATTCCGGTCGCCGGAAATTCGTGACGTCGATTTCCGATAGAGGGATGTGCTTCGAGTTGCCGTTTCTCGACTCTGGAACAATTGGGTCTTTGGCTTCTTTTTCAGGTCCGACGTTTTCTTTATCGTTGGTATCATCATTCTCGTCCTCGAAGTCCATTTCATCGTCTTCGATGTCTCGCATGAGCTCCGACACGTCGATAACCTCTGGTTCTTGTACTATTTTGCTGTCCTGATTAAGCTTCCTGGGCTGCTCTTCTGTGAAAGCCATGACCGGAGCTTGAAGTTGGGCCACTGATTTTTGTGGGGCATTAGGGAGGAAATTAGGGAGGAGTCCATCGGAGGCATTGACGTGAAGAATCCGTTCAGGCTTCAGATACCCAATTGGCTTAATGGACTTGAGTTTCTTCAGTAACTTCACCTTCACCCCCTTCATTCTTCACCCTTCTTGGCTCCAAATTCTGATATGGGTATGTCAAATAAAGCAAGAACCATACAAACAGAAACAGACAGAGAGGAGAGAGGAGAGAGGAGCTTAACGGTTAGATGGAAGTTTACTGGCATTTAAAATTTGAAATTATAAAGTGGGAGGGGGTCCATGCTGAGAGCTTTAGAGCACACGAGGGACATTTGGCTTCGATGTCTCAGTCCGCACTAAGGGAATGTTTGGTTTGCCAAAAAAATTGTGGTGTTCCTATAATTTTTGTTCCAGAGAATTTTTATTTTTTTTGTAATTTAAAAAATTTATCTTTAAAGTGTCATAATTTAATATCAAAATAAAAATTAAAAATTGAAAACAAAAAATTTGAAAAGTAATATAATTATAATTTCAAAAAAATAAATTTTCTAATATTTTCTTTAAATAATATTTTTTAATAACAAGAAAAAAAATAACAAATAAGAAGTTTAAAAAATCCGCCTTTTCGGTGCAGAAAAACAGCACGTGGGATTATATGCCAGATAGGACATCAACTTTTTCTTATACCGAAAAGTGTGATAGATGACTTCTTGCTGTGGATCTGAGCGCACAGAATCACAGCTTTCGTACACGTGTAAGCCAACAACAGGTGTATCATTATATCATTAGCAAAAACAAATTGGGTTTTTTACGCTGACCACCCTCAAGTTTTCCGAAAACACTCTAACATCCCTGTACTTTTCAAAAAACTCTAATCTCTCTAATTGACTAGACATGAACCTCCTACTCCTCCTTTGTTATTTTGTTTTAATTTGATTAAGTTGTTTAATGTTATTTAGGTTATATTTTATCTAATTATTAAAAAAGTTAAGTGGCCTTTATATTAAGCATAAAAACATATTTATATAAGCAGTTTTATATATTTTATACTAAGAAAATTTATTTTTTGGAAAAATTAATTACTAAGAAAAATTAATTATTTTTATATTTATCTAACAAGTGTCTATATTTTGTTTAATAAAACTAAATAATAAATTATGATTCTTATGAAGTCTCATTAAGTAATAAATAATAAATAATAAAATATGATTTTGATAAAATTCTCTACAAACTAAATTAGTTCTGCATGAATTTATTTCTTTGTCTAAGTCAGCAATTAAATGGGAATGACAAAGGGGAAGGAGGAACAAGTCCCGCGAGCAACTTGGTCATGTTAAGGGAGTAATCTGCATCAGACATTAAAGGAGACGGAAGTTAGAGTTATTTTAGAAAAGATATGGGATATCAGAGTGTTTCTATAAAACCTCAGGGGCGTCAGAGTAAAAAACCCAAAAACAAATCTGCCCGCCCCCCCAACGGTCATAATTTGTCGCTGGGACCCACTGTCTCTTTCAATCGAGTGCCCATGATTTCAAGGCATTCCAAATCCGTCCGCCCACCTTCGCAAACTTCTCTCCATTTTTTGGGAATTTTCTACCCATATAAATTATTTATCTATGTTTATTTAATGTTTTCCACTAAAAATATTATAAAATTATAACTAAATTGAAATTTTAATTTGAGCAATAAAATAAATATGAGACCGAGGGTGTAAAACCCCAGCATAAATTAATTTAAAAAAAAAAATCCCGACGTGATCCGAACGTCCGAGATGTTCGGATCCACGAAACCACGAATGAAGAACTTCCAGATTCGAGATCTTCGCAACTGATTGATTCGTTTTTTTTCCTTATAAAGTAGAGCAATCGGTAGAAAACAACCAAAGCCCTATTAGTATTTTGAAAACCAATTGCTTAAACTCGGGAATTTTGAAAAGCTCCGTTCGGTCGGTTCGTCGGCCATTCCAGCAAGCTGAGAGGGATCTGGGCTCGATTAATCAAATCGACGAGGGTCGCCTGGTCATTTCAATCCAAGGGCGAAGCTTCCATCTAAGGTTTGATCGAGTTAGAGGTAAGATTTTTTTTGCGTTTCTCTGTTTCAGTTGATTGTAGGACCGGGTGAAGGGGATGACACCCATTTGGTGATTCGGGTTGGGCGCGACCCGAATTCTTGATTAAATTGGGCCGGCCATTGGCCGCCTTAAAGGGCTTGGGTTGAATTATTATTTTTGAACATGGGCCGACCCAGACAGCTCTAGGCCAAATGTAAAATCTTTGGGTCTGGGCCATAGCCAGAGGGCTAGGCCCAGACCAGTAAAAGAGGCTGGGTCATAAGGACCCGAACAAAAATTCTGGATCCAGCCTAGGGGATTATTTGAAATAAAATAATAGCAGAAATTATTAATTAAGGCCAAAATGAGAAAACTAGCCAGTTCAGTGGCTTCTGGTCCGGTTCTTGGCCGGTTCAAAGCATCATTATGAAGGTAATTTAATTGTCTACCTGATTCTAGGCTAGTTTAAGTGAAAACCAGCCGATTCAATGGTGAACCGGCCGGTTCAATGTTAAAGGAAAATATAAATAAATTAGAAAATCACCGATTTATTGTATTAATGCTCGGTTCAAGGCTTTTTGGGCGGTTCATGGCCGGTTTAAGCTACTGATTTGAAGATGATTAAATTTTTCACACAGTTACAGGGCGGTTTAAGTGAAAACCGGCCGGTTCAATAGTGAACCTGCCTGTCCAATGCTTAAGAAATTAATGAAAACTTGAAAATACCACCGGTTCATCGTATTTGTGGTCGGTTCAGGGCCCTTAGTCACTAGTTCATTAAATCTAAATCTGGTTCTGTGATTTTCATGACTGGTTTTACATATTTCGAGGCCGATTCAGTAGGTTTAAGCCCGGTTCAATAGGTTTTATGAGCGGTTTAAGGGGTTTAATGCCGATTTAATGGTTTTGAGGTTGAATTAATGGGTTTTTGTCTCGGTTCAGTGGTTTTCCTCACTAGTTCAGTAAGTTTTAAGTTCGGTTCAATATGTAAAAGGTCCGGTCCAGTATTATATCAATCGATTTGAGACTTTAAAATTCCCAAAATGGCTTAAAACATGAAAATCAAGAATAGGGTTGGGTTTTTAAGAATAATTTACTTTTTAATTAAACTTGAGAAATATTACGTTCTAAAATGAATATTTTGATTATCTTTAGATTAATTGGTTGACTTTCGGAGAGCCGAATCACCGAAGCTCGATTTTCGTGATTCTCGGTTTCTGTGAGTAATAATAGATATTTATATGTTTAAATTGCTGTTATACTTGTTTAA